CGCCTCGTCCCCGCGTCGCCCGGCGCGGCGCTGCGCGCCGCCGCGGGCGCGCGGCCGCTGCCTCGGCGGCCGAGCAGGGTGTTTCTTGCCCCTGAGGACGGCAGCGGGGAGGCTCGGCTGTACGTGGCTGTCCCCAAGACGCCGCAGCCGCGGGCGGCGGCCGCTGGCGAGGGCTGGCCCGCGTCCCCGGAGCGCGGCCGCCGCCCGCCCTCTCGGCGCGCGGCCGCTGCCGCGCCACCCGTGTTTGCTCTGTCGCGCGCCGCGTCGCTGGCGGCGGGCGGCGCAGAGGAGCAGTGGTGCGCCTCGGCCGCGCCGTCGCCGCCGCCGCCCAGCGACGCCATCCCCAAGCTCGTGGAGGCGGCGGCGGCGGCGCCAAATGAGCGCAAGCACCTTGAAGCGTCCGGCTTCGAGGATCCTGCGGCCAGCGGAAGCGCCAGAACGGCCTCGGCAGCCGAACCCACGCCCCCCATGGCGCCCTTTTCGGTGCTCCCAAGCAACCCCTTCGCCGCCGCGGCGGGCGCCCCCTTTACCGACGCGGACGCCGCCGGCGACGCCGCCGCCGACGGCGACGCAGAGAGCAGCGCCAGCGAGGACTGGTGGTGCGGCGACCCCTCGGGCGTCTTGGTGCGGGAGGTGATGTCACCGCCCCCGCCGCGCGTCGCGCCCGATGCGGACGCGTCGGCCGTCCGCGCGCTGCTGACGCGCGGCCGCGCGCCGCTGCTGCTCGTCGATCTTGGGCCCGACGTGCCGCCGGGCGTGATAGAGGAGCGGGACCTGTTTAAAATTCCCGCGATCAAGCGGCGGCTGAGCGGCGGTCAGGCGGGCGGTGCCGGAGGCGGCGGCGGCAACGGGGCGCCCCGGCGCCCGCGGGTGACGGCGGGCGACATCATGCGGCCGGCCGCGGTGGTCGTGGACGCGGGGGACGAGGTGGAGGCGGCGGCGATGGCGCTGCAGTCCGCGGACTGCCGGCGCGCGGTGGTGCGGGACGGCGGCGCGGCGCGGGGCGGCGGGGAGGAGTGGGTGGGGACGATAACGGACGTCGCGATTTACAGGTGAGCGTGCGTCTTGTCAGATCACAAGACGGCTTTTGCCGGTGTGTCGCGCATGCCTTGTTGTGAGGGTGTGATAAAGACACCTCAGCGTGGGCCAAAGCAAGCAGAGGGACCGTAGGGCCGGCTGGGCCACGCCTCGCGTCGCCTCGCAGTCAGCGCGGGCGGGGCAGCGGGAGGGCTTGGCGCAGCGCAAGGGCCCGGCTGCCGCCAGCTTGCAGGTCGGGGCGCGCCCACGCCCGCGTCGTCTCTCCTCATCCAATGCGGCCCCGTCCTACGGCCCTGACGTCCCGCGCTGCTCATCCCCAGGTGCATGGGGTTCCCGGATGACATCAGCGACGACGACGCCAGCCGCGGCAGCTGCGGGGAAGCTTCCCGCGCCCCGTCGTCCGCCGCCGGCGCCGGCGCGGCGGGCGGCAGCATCATCAGCGGCGGGAGCGGCGACGGCGGCGGCAGCGGCGGCAGCGGCGTGGCGCGCAGTGGGACGAGCACGGCGTCTTCTGATTCCCTTTGGGGCGACGCGCCTGACGCCCTCGCGCGCTGCAAGACGGCGGCGGCGCTGTGGGAGCTGGACCATCACGAGATCCAGATTGTCAGGAAGATTGGGGAGGGCAGCTTTGGGGAGGTGCTGCTGGCCAGCTTCCGCGGCACCAAGGTGGGGGTGGTTCGGGCGGTTGGCGGCCGGCGGTTGGCGGTTGGCGGTTGGCGGTTGATGGTTGCAGGCCAAGGGTTTGGACAGGGGCTGCGGCGGCGGGTCGGCAGGGGACGGTCTGCGGAGGGAGCGCCACGCTCGCAGCCGCGCTTGGGCATGCGGCGTGCGGCTGGGCCGGGCGAGGGTTTAGGGGTCTTGCCCCTGCGCTGGCCGCAGGCGCATCACTCGGCGCAGATCGGATCCGCCTCCTCAGGGGACCCTCAACTCTCCGCCTGGCAGCCGGCCGGCCTGCGTCTGCAGCCCTCCCCCTCCCCCGCTCCGAAACACTCATGCCCAACCCTCCTACCTCCCGGACCCCAGACCCCTCCTCCTCCACAACCCCAAAGTCCAACGCCTTTCCTGGAAACCACCCACCAAAACACCCCCACAGGTCGCCGTGAAGCGCCTGCATGCCCTCGACCGCGAAGCCGCCCCCACCTCCTCAGCCGCGGCCGCGGCCGGCGGCGCCGCCAGCCGCGCCGCCTTCCAGCAGTTCTTCGACCGCGAAATCGCAATCCTGGCCTCCATCCGCCACCCCAACGTGGTCAACTTCATCGGCGCCTGCCACCGCGCCCCCGCCCCCTGCCTGGTCACCGAGTACTGCGCGCGCGGCCCGCTCGACGCGCTGCTGCACGGGCCGGGGGGCGCGGGGCTCTCGCTGGCGCGGCGCGTGGAGTTCGCGATCGACGTCGCGCGCGGCATGGCATGCCTGCACGCGCAGCAGCCGCCGGTGGTGCACCGGGACCTGAAAACGGCCAACCTGTTGGTTTCTGCGCGGTGGGAAGTGAAGGTGGCGGACTTCGGTCTGTCGCGCATCAAGGACGCGACGCACGTGAGCGGCGGGAGGC